GAGGGAGAGAATGCACGACCTGAAGATACCCTAGACACCCTTCATATTAGCTGCATGTCCGTTATATAGATAGATCTTGTAGATGAATATAGAAATGAGCTCGCGCTGTACAGGAAATTCTTATCATTTTGCTTCCTCTTCTGCCCTTTATGGATATCTTTAATTCTTGGCCTACGATCAGTAATCAGCAAGTATAAGCATGCTCGCCCTGTAGATACTCTACACATTAGTTTATTCTTCTGCCTCTTCATAGAAAGATAGGAACCAACTTAGCCATTATCTTTGCTTAATATAAGAAATTTAAGCAAAATCGCGACGAACTTGCAGATACCCTACATATTCGTATTAACAACTTAATGCATATGGATATACTCTATTAATGGTTAGAGATTGCAAATTGAAAACGAGCCCCGAGCTAGACTTGGAGATACCCTAATCATATCTAACCTCGCCTTAAGAAATAATCTAAAATAGAAATTTAGCTTCAATCCTGAATCAGCCTCAGCAAGCAGCCCTACAGATACTTCGACTTCTTCATAGCATTTTCACATCATTATAGAGATACACTATATATATGTTAAGGACAAATACAAAACTAATATTCGCTCAGCCTTCAGCTGTTAGGCGCATAAAATTTGACAGTCATAATTTAAGTTCTAAATCTAAAAGAGAGAAACGAAACATTAAAGCATCATCCCCGAACAGTTCATCATTGTTTATGGCTTGAGCAGAGTATGTCGGCTACGTTTACGCCCGTTTTCAAAATCTGCTGGACATGGCTAACGGCATTAGACACACCTTTCAGCCAGGGCTGTGAGCCCATTTAACGCGCATAAACAATTCTGAATCCAAATGCAGCTCTCCTCCACATCTCAGCATTATGCACATCATCAAACCAATTACGCATCCAATTATGACTAAATAGACGCACCTTTTTTATACCTGGAGAGAGGGAGGGAGCGAGAGAGGGTGCTCGAGGAGTAGAGCGAGAGAGGTAGAGACACACGCCCACGCCGCTATCAAAAATCATTGCGTAACTAGGCGCGGACCAGATCAGAGCAGCGTCAAATGAGAAGCAGTCAGGATCTAAAAAAAGGAAGGAAAAAACATCTGCCAGATATGTAGCCAGACCCTGGACCCAGGGACAAACCCTTGGCCAATCTGTCGACAGCAACTGGCGTTAAAAACGGCGAGGGTTGCCACACTCACACCTCGACAGAGCGAGGACGGCGGGGGCTTAGAGCAGAAGACGACGCGACGCTTAATCAATACGTGGCCATAAATCAGTAGGAGCTAACAGACTGCGCCACATGCGCTGGCACCAACGACTCTTCGAATACCCTGTAAATGACAGACGTGAGCTTAGTATCAGTGGGTAATAAACATGTTCAAAGATACCCGAACTGAAGCATGGGAGCTCTTGTTTTCTTAGAAAGAAACTGACTATCGATAAATGTATATCGATTGACTATATGACACATCAGATACATTATAACAGTTTATTTTGTTTAAATTTACAACTAAATGGCAAACTAGCTCTGCTAACTACTGCCCTTTATGCTTGCCATCTAACTGAATAATATCGATATTTATCGATTTTCGTTAGGCAATTGCTTTTATGCTTTATATAGTTAGCTCGCATTAAAAGTGTTATCTTATTATATATTTGCTATTCATATGATATTAATTTCTACATTATATTATTATCGATAATTATCGTTTTGAAATTTACATAAACGTACAGCATAGGCATCTAGCGGGACACCAAGCAGGTCGTAAGTAAATTATTTTTCCCTTTGTGAATGCACACTTACAGAGCAACTGCTAGTCGAGCATGCCCAACTGTTCTGTATTGCAGTGTTCTCCTTTCGATTGTTCGAGTCTCGTTGCTTGGCTCGTGCTCCTTTTTCAAAGTGGGGCAACCGCAAAAGCAAATGAGGACCCGTTTCTTATCCACATGCCAATGACCTGCTTTGAGGACCCTTCTCGCAGGGCGCACAGCTGCAATGGGTCCTACTAAAGACAACAGACAGCTCAATTCTACAGATCAAAGACCTCCCCCGGCTGCAGTGCAAGAAACTCTTTCAGTTTGCCTATTAATTACACAGAATAGACACTGTGTGCTCGACGGGCAGCAACATTTTAACCACTTCGTAGCCCCCTCTAGATCCATACGTTTCAAATTTTGCCAGAGACTGTAAATGTTTACACTATAAAAAACGCGTGCCACTAGCAAAAGTTACGAATCATCGCACGGTATCAATAACTAAACTCCGTAGCCCCTCGACCCACCGCGTTTACCATGCCAACATGAGCTCCCCATAAGCCACCCTAGTTATATATATTTGCGCATAACACCAGAGCGTGAGAAAAGCAAAGTGAAATAAAAAAGAGAAAAAATTTGATGTTGCGCACTCGGTGTCCGGTTTCCCATGAGTAAGATGAATATTTTAGTATTAAATCTATAAAAACAAAATTGGGTTTGGAACTGAAATTCTATATATATCGAGCTAAGGGAATGAAAGAAATGGCATATAAGGTTAAATATTGTCTAAGCCTCTTAATTATTAATTAGGGCTCTTAAGCTTTAAGCTACAGATGGTAAGTTGTTACATTGCTTGATTGATTGAATGACTGATTGATCGAGTCGAAGTCAAAACTAAACGCTTTTCAAGCGCCTGACACACATATGTATAAGTATCTATAGAATTGGTTGTAGCTGACTGATTGATTTGATTGATTGATAGACTGATCAGCTTATAAATTATCTATGTGCAGAAAGGCTGTAAAAATCCATCATGAAGATGGAGAGAGATAAAGAGTAAATAGACATGGATGTAGATATATAAAATCATAATCTTCTCTTATCCCTTCCCTTCCCTTCATAGCTCCATCTCTAGGTATCTGTATATTCATATAAAGATATATAGATTTCCACCTATATCTATAAATATAACTATCTACATATATAGGTGTCTTGCCCTCTATTTTGAGCACATCCTGAGCACATATAAAATCATAATCATCTCTTATCCCTTCCCTTCCCTTCCCTTCCCTTCATAGCTCCATCTCTAGGTATCTGTATATTCATATAAAAATATATAGATTTTCACCTATATCCATAAATATAACAATCTATATAGGTTTCTTGCCCTCTATTTTGCGGCTGCTGTCTAGAATTCTGGCATTTGGCATCAACATTTTTATTAGCCTAGCTAGCCCGACTCTAAGCCAGCCCATTTGCGTCCACCCAGCCCCCGCCTCCTTTCAGTTGGCTGCAAACCTGATTCTCCATTATCCCTTCCCTCCACTCTCCACATTCCTTTCTGCACACACACATATATTTCCTTCCCGTACTTCTTCTATTTTGTTGTGCTTTTTGTTTGCCGTTTGGGCTGCGCTTAACCCGCCCTCTACATAGCCTCCCCATTTGCGCCCACCTCCTGTCTCCTGCTGGCTGTCGCCTGTGCTCTTTTGTGTCCTTTGTGCGCACGCTTTTTATTTATTCAGCAAACAGCTAAAACAACATTAAAAAAAAACAACAACAACAACAACAGAAAAACTAAAACAACAACATTAACCGAAAATGGGCGGAAGCCAAACTAAATGCACCCAACCAAGCGCGCGCCTCTCTCTCTCCATGCGTGTGTGTGTAGGTGTGTCTACCTGTACTTGTGTGTGTGTGTGCGAGCTGAGTATCTTGTAGATACTTTTTGCCAACCTCACGAAACGTACAGCTGCTGCCTGCCTGCCTGGCTGCTGCTGCTGCTGCTGCTGGACATATCGATCCACTCTAACCACACACACAAACATACACACACATACAGTGGTACAGAAGCGTTAAAAAAGCTCTACTCAGCTGCACTTGCTTTTCTATTTCCAAAAAACCTGCAAAGTATGCAATACAAAAATTAAACAAAAATAGAAATTTGATTTTTTTTTTTTTTTGGTTTATTAAGTGTAGAAACTGTGAAATTTGATGACAATAAGAAAGCTGAAAATAATAATGGAAAGAAATATTGTATACATATTTAAAGATGTATTCATATGTAAAGATAAATGTAGTATATTATGGCATAGTTAATTATAGTAAATTATGTATGATAGTTGGAAGAGTATTGCATGCATATATACATACTTTATATAGCAGTATTTCACAATTATATACACATATATATTATACAAATGCTTTAGTATAGTTATTTTATTGTTAAAAAGTGAATCAATTATTTGATACTATTCGCTTCTGTATAAAATGTAGAATATATGATAAAAAATACATAATACACATTTGCATATTTAACACACAGCTTTAACCACTGTACGTGGCTGAGCTGCGCTGCGCTGCGCTGTGCTGTGGGTGTTTGGGAGGCGCACAGAGCTAACGGAAATGCCGCAGCGTCAAGCAGCAAATGTTCCCATCGCTGACATTTTAAATTGCGCTTGCTGGCGCCATCTGGCAACGGAAATCATAAACTAGCGCTACTCAAACCAAACTCCATCTCGCTCGCACTAGCTGCACTTTGCTGTCTGTTGCGCTGCGCCTACCTGCGTCTCCACTGCCCACTTCTTCACCCTAACAAGCTATCTCCCTTACTCTCTATCTCTCTCTCTCTCGCTCGGTTCAATTCTCAGCCTTGCGCTGGCCACGTCACGCGCCGAATAGCGGATTCATGTTACAGTTAGAATCGGGTAGCAGGCTCTTGCTTGGAACGAGGACGGGCACAGGGACGGAGCGAGGACGAGCAGAGCAAGGCGCAGGTGTCGCACATTTTAGATGAGTTTTTGACCACAGAAAATAATCGATAATGAAATTATTACCGATTATTAATAATTTCTACAAGTGTCGTAACACCACAAGATTTAATTGAGCGAATTAAAAACGTAAAAAAAAAATACATATTTGAATTACAATAAATTGTTGGTTTAAATAAATAAATACTTAAATGTCGAAGAAAAAAAAAAGGCATTTAAAATTAATTTCGTCGATTTAGGCTTCGCCTTGTTTTAGGCGGTAAATTTCAGATTCGTGCGCTTGCGATTGCCGAATTCGCCGTTTCGCCGTGGCGATTGCTCTGCCAGCTGTGGCTGCTGCGCTGCGCTGCGTCCCAGCAGATTCCAGAATGGACGCGGCGTCGTCGTCGTCGTCGTCGTCACCGGATCCTTGTTGATGTAGATGCAATTGACGATCGGCTCGTCGCCAAAGTATTGCTGGCGATAGCCGCCGCCGATGCCATTTTGTTGGCGAATCTTGTTGCGGCGACGACGCTGGCGCTGCAGCTGCTGGCGGCGACGCTTCTGCTGCTGTCGGCGGCGACGCTGCGCCTCCGTCAGCTGTGGACGACGGCGTCTATAGCCGCCCATCGAGCCATAGCTGTAGCTGGCACTGGAACTGGAGCTGGAGCTGGGTCGGCGGCGTCTGTTGCCCACGTTGCTTGGCCTGCTCTTCTTCTTCTTCTTCTGCTTGGGCTTGGACTTGCGACGCTTAACGGGCGTGGAGGAGCCGCTGCCGCTGCTGCTGCTGCTGTTGCCTATTGGCTTCTGCGCTGTCTGATCGACGCTAACGCTCTGCTGCAGCTGCTGTTGCTTGTTGTCCTGCTCTACGCCATTCATTGCCTGCAGTTCGTTAGCTGGACGCTTCTTCTTCTTCTTTTGCTGTGGCCTCCGGCGCTTCTGCTGCTGCTGCTTGCGACGTTTCTGCTTCTGCTGCTGCTGAATTCTCTTCTTCTTATTCTCATTGACTGGTCGATTGGCCGGATTGACAACGGGCTGCACATCCTCATCATCGCCATCCGTGCTCCAAATGGCCGACGTGCTCACCGGGCTATCCTCGGTTATGAAGTGTTCGTATTCATCGTAGATGCCCAAGCCTTGATAATAGAAGCCATCGCTGTCGATATTATCCTCCTCGTCCTCGTCCTCCTCCTCGGCCGCCTCATCCCCACCCAGAAGCGGTGCGCCCGGCTGGTAGTAGGATTGCTGATTCAACGGCTTTAGCTCGAAGACCGCATGTGTATTGGGATTGACCTTGGGCGGCTCCTGCGACTCGACCACAACAATGCCCGCATCTCCGACCACATTGGCATGGGTCGCCGCATTGGCCACCACGCTGACGCCACCGGGCACCTTCTGTGTGAAGGCCACAAAGCTGTTCTGGCTTTGGCCTGGGAACTGTTTCTGTTGCACTGCATCCACCAGGAACGCCTGTGGCTTCAGCTGCTGCACCTGCTGAACCTGCTGCTCGCCATCGTCTTCAGCTAAGACCACCTCCTCGATCTCCAGTTGCTGCTCATCACCATCGTCTTCGTCATCCTCCTCGTCATCATCTTCGTCGTCCTCGTCCTCCGGCTGCTGCAGCTGCACCGCTGCCAGCGCCACATAGCGGCGCTTGTTCGAATCCTGCTCCTGCTGCAGCTTCAGCGGCTCCGTCCCTGCACTTAGGCTCAGCTGCTGTGAGCTGACCGAGATGCTGGGCGCGCTCATCGAGCGACTCGAACGCTTCCGCCTGGTGACCACGCACTGCGATTTACTGCCCTGGCCATTCAGCTGCCGGCCCTGGATATAGAAGCGCTTCAGCTCATACTCATCCCCGTTCTCGTCCACCTCGATCCTCGTCTCGCCGTTGACCTCTCGGCTGGCCAGTGCCAGCCAGAGCACCGCAACAATCAAGGCCCACACGCAGCTGTGACTCCTCATGGTTCTCGACTAAACTGAGCTACGAGCGGTCGCAGCGACCGCTTATATTAGTTCGCTGCGGACGCAGACCTATTGACCCAAAGCTAATTGCCAAAATCTTCAACGATCTCTGATCTGCGATCTGAATTATTCATTAGCTTAGCCCTCTCCCCTCCCTTCACTCACCTATGTATGTTTGTTGTAGAATCTATTTAGCTACTTATTCATAGTTTGCTTTCTTCTAAGAACTCGTTTTCGCCCAAAAAAAAATAGAAACAAAATTTGTTTTTCTCTATTTTTCACTAGTTGGGGTCAAAGATCAATCAACTATAACCCCCCTGGTACAGACATCGGCTGCCAAATTTGACAGATGAAAGTTTTTAGTCAAAGGGCCCCACGGCGAAATCCCAATCGACCTCTTGACAAAAAAAATTTAAGCATCGAAAGTTCGTATAATTAATGATTCCATTTGTTAGGTAGCAAAGTGGGCTGGATGCGAAGGGTATCCCGGGGCCCAGAGCAGGGCGCTGAACTATTTCAACTCTGATATATAAAATATGTATTTTTAATATGAAAATAATAGCAAAATAAGTGGTATTTACTATTCCAAATATCTCATCTTTATAGTCGGTATATGACACAGTTCTAAATAGCTTCAGCCATATTCCCCTGTTCCGTATTTCCATTGTCAAGCAGAGCTACATTATAGTAAATTACAAGGTTTTTAATATTTAATACAAATCATTAAAAATAAATTCCGAAATATTATCATCTAACGTCAACTATGCATTAGGAGCTGAACCAAAGTGAAATCCGCTCCTGTTCGAAATAATCGCACAGCGATTAAAAAGAAGAAAAGAAAGCGAATTTTGACCTATGACAGCAAATTGATATTCGAAATGCAGAGATTTCTAGTCAAAGCGACAAACTAATCAATTTATAGTCACATACAAATTTATTTCTAAGTCGGAATCAGAAACTGTCTCTATTTTTTTTTTTTTTTTTTTTCTTTTTTTGTGTGGAGGCTGAACAAAAGGCCGACAGAAATAGCTTAGCAAAAGCGGGCAAAAAATGCGGCACCGCTTGAACTCTCAGGCACACATACCTTCGTGTCAGTGTGTATGTGAATGTGTATCTCGCTTCCCCCTTCTACTTTCAGCTGCTGCTAAGAGTGTTTCGAGCTCCTTTCCTCCCGCTTTCATTCTAAGCATTTGCTTTGTGTGTGTGTGTGACACTCCTTTCTTAACAGTATCCCCTCTCCTTCTCCCCCTTCCACTTTAGCATTTGCTGCGTGTGTGATTCTATGAGAGACTACTCCCTGCCTCTCGCTCCCTCCGCTTGACCAATTGCTGTGTGAGAGTCAGTCAGCTCCTTCTCCTCTCCACCTTCCACTAAGAATTTACTGTGTGTGTATGAGTGACTGCTCTCTTTGCGCTGTTCTCTCCTGCAGTCCACCTTAGCTTATGCTATGTGGATTTGTGTGGTTCTCCTCAGCCCGCGCCCTACTCCAGCATTTGCTGTCCACTCTTTTGCATGCTAATTATATATCATAAATTTCTACACACACAGCGAGAGAGAGAGAGAGAGAGATAGAGAAAAAATAGCACAATCAACAAATAGCCAAAGATAGTTGGCACGGGATGCCGCATGGCAAGGCGCAAAAGAGGGAGAAGATAGTGGATGGAGGCAGGGAGGTGGTTTATCAAGAAAACTGAACAAAAGATCAATTGACAGAGAGAAATGTTTTGCGGCAGCTGCGCGCAACACTTGAATAATAATAATGTAACAAATATAAAAAGAGGCCATTAAATTACAAACATCTTCAACGGCCAACAAACAGTAGCAACAACAACAATAACCAGCAACRGCAACAGCTTCTATTGGCCTCCAAAACTGATTTGGTATGGAGAAGGTGTCGCCGCGATCGTCATTCAAGAGGGAACCCAACTCCAAGCAGCAGCAACAGCAGCAGCAACAGCAACAGCAGCAACGCAGCAGTCAAGTGCGATGCGCGTGCAGACATGCAACAAATACAACAACAAATACAAGCGATAACAACGCTGCCCGTCAATTTGTGACGATCGTATCTCTTTAATGTGAATGTAAGTAGAGGTGGGCGAGAGAGAGAGAGCGAGAAAGAGCTAGTGTGTGTGTAACGGCAGGCAAACTAAAGCTGCGCTTGTATCGTGACACGATGGCACGAAACAAATATACATACATACATATATTAAAATTCCCTGCTATATAGAGCTCTGGTAGTAAACCACATTTAAATGGTGTATTATGCCTTTATATTTTATATGTTTACACATACAAAATCTAAATTCACCTCTCAAATACATACATCCTTTCCATCCTTTCCTTTCCATGGCTTCTTCCATTTGCAGCTTGTGCTCGTGCTGCAAGTAACAAAACTTTCAGCACGTGCTCATCCCTAGCAACGACAAAGCGTAGGCTTGAGCAAAAGGTCACATGCATACACTTACACACCTCTAGACTACATATGTATGTTCGACTCTTCTGCGTGTGTGCGTGTGTCAACACACTGATTCAAATTTATATACAAAATGCATTTGCAATGTACACACTGTTACCCTTATCGATCGAAATCGATTCAGTGCAGTGTTGCAAAGCTATCAAAAAATTGCCTGCATCAAATATTAGGGAATTGAACACGGTGAAGAACGATAAAAAACAAAAAATCTGAAATTAACTTTCATTAATAATATCAAAAGATACAAACGAAGCTGGAGGCTGGTCGCAAAAAAAAACATAAAAGTGTCAAATGCGAGCTCGACTTATTTATTTACTTATTTGTTGTGTGTTTTCTTTCATTATTGTTGTCTTTGTTATTGTGTTCGCTTATGCTAACTACTTTCGCATAGCGGGCACCAACGGAATTTTTAATTAATTCATGCCCTATACTTTTGTGTATGTAAACACGTGCGTGTATATATATATATGTGCGTGTGTATGTGCGTATATATATGTGTATGTGCACATTTTGTATTTATTCACAAATCAATACTAACTGCTAGTCAACGCGGGGCAGCAAATGAAAAGAAGCTGAAGCTGTAGAAGAATAAATGAGAAGCTTAAGAAACAAGCTGAAAATGAGTTTAGCTAAAAAAAAGCTATAACGACGTTTATTAACAAGTAACTATTTTACATTTTTTTTTTTTTTTTTTTGCTTTTTTGTTTGAGTTGTTATTTTTAGATGCATTATATATTCAACTGATACATAATATAATAC